CCATGTCTGGACGCAGGGGGGGGGTTGTCGACGGGGAAGGGGGGTTGTAAGTGCCCGGGGGAAGCGCCGTCGTCCCACCCAGTGGTGGTTCGCGGATGTACCTGACGGCGTCGATGTCCATGGATTTCATCGGCTGCTGCAGAAGTTGGATCATGCATTCTGGAGGAGGCGAGACACGGGGTTTGGTTTGGGAGGCGAGGAGGATCTCTCTCTCTCTTTCTTTCTCTCTCTGCTGCTCTCTCTCTCTTTCTCTTTTTTTTCTTTTCTCTTAGCTCTCTCTCTCTCTCTCTCTCTTTCTCTTTCTTTCTGCCTCTCTCTCTGCTCTCTCTTTCTCTTTCTTTCTTTCTCGCTCTCTCTGCTCTCTCCTCTCTCTCTCTTTCTCTCGCTTTCTCTCTCTCTCTCTCTTTCTCTTCTTTCTTTCTCTCGCTTTCTCATCTCTCTCTCTCTCTCGCTCTCTCTCTCTTCCTCTCGTCTCTCTCTCTCTCTCTCTCTCTCTCCTCTCTTCTCCTCTCTCTCTCTCTCTCTTTCTCTTTCTTGTCTTTCTTTCTCTCTCTCTCTCTCTGCTCTCTCTCTCTCTCTCTCTCTCTCTCCTCTCTCTCTCTCTCTCTCTCTCTCTCTCTCTTCTCCTCTCTCTCTCTCTCTCTCTATATATATATATATATATTATATATATTATATATATAATACATAAATACATCAACATACCATACATACATACATACATATATATAATATATATATATATATATATATATATATATATATATAATATATATACACACACACACACACACCATCCCTCCTTTCCTTCTTTCCCTTCCAAAATCCTCCTACGTCCATTTTTTTCTACCTTCCCTACCTTTGTTCGATCCTCCTGCCTCTCTTCCTTCATCCTATCCTCTCTCCCTTTTACCTGTCTCTTCCCTTGCACTCGTTTCCTCCATCCCTCCTTTCGTATGCTGGTCTCCAACTCTCCCTTCTTTCTGCTCCTTCTCTCTCTCCCTCGCCATACTCCAAAGCCTCCCTCTTTTTTCTGTCCCTCTTCCCTTCTTCCTCTGTCCTCTTCTCCCTCCCCCTCTCTCTTTCTTTCTTTCTCCCTCCCCCACATTCTCTTTCCTCCTTCACGTTTATCTTTCCCCTCCTGTCCCTCCTTCCCCTCCCTATTATTCTCATCCCTCCCTCTCTTTCCATCCCTCCTTCCCGTCCATCCTCCTCCCCTTTGTCCCTCCTCCTGTCCCTCCCTCCCTTTCCCCCTCACCGTCCCTCCAACCCTCCTCCTCTATTTCCCACTCCCTCCCTCTCTTAATCCCCTCTCCTTTCCCCGTTATTCCTCTTTCCCTTCCCCGCTCTCCCTCCCTTTCTCTCTCTCTCTAGCTCCCTAATTCCCTTCCATCCCCTCCCCTATCTCCGGTCCCCTTTCCCCTCCTCCAGCCTCTCCCTCCCTTTCCCCGTCCTCCTTCCCTCCCTCCTTCCCATCCTCCCCCCCCTTTTCCTCCCCCCCTACCCCCTCCCATCCCCTTTCCACTCCCATCCCACCCCTCTCCCTCCCCTTCCTCCCATCCCTCCCACCCCTCCTTTTCCCTCCCTCCTTTTCCCCTCCCTCCACCCACCTTCCTCGCAATAATATTGCAATCCGGCGCCCGCGTGGAGAGCGACGTTGACGAGGGCGCAGGACGAGAGAGCTCCGAGGACGAGAAACTCCCTCTTCCCTCCCTCCCTTTTCCCTCCCTCCCCCCCCCTCCCTTCCTTCCCTCCATCCCCCTTTTCCTCCCTCCTTCCCCCCTTCCTCCTCTCCCCCCTCCCATCCTCCCCCTCCCTCCTCTCCCTTCCCTCCCCTCCTTCCCTCCCTTCCCTCCCTCCCTCCCTTCCCTCCACCCACCTTCCTCGCAATAATATTGCAATCCGGTGCCCGCGTGGAGAGCGACGTTGACGAGGGCGCAGGACGAGAGAGCTCCGAGGACGAGAAACTCCCTCCTTCCCTCCCTCCCTTTTCCCTCCCTCCCCCCTCCCTCCCTTCCTTCCTCCCATCCCCTTTTCCTCCCTCCTTCCCCCCTTCCTCCCTCTCCCCCCTCCCATCCTCCCCCTCCCTCCTCCCCTTCCCTCCCCCTCCTTCCCTCCCTCCCTCCCTTCCCTCCACCCACCTTCCTCGCAATAATATTGCAATCCGGCGCCCGCGTGGAGAGCGACGTTGACGAGGGCGCAGGACGAGAGAGCTCCGAGGACGAGAAACTCCCTCCTTCCCTCCCTCCCTTTTTCCCTCCCCCCCCTCCCTCCCTTCCTTCCCTCCCATCCCCCTTTTCCCCCTCCTTCCCCCCTTCCTCCCTCTCCCCCCTCCTTCCCCCTTCCTCCCTCCCCCCTCCCATCCTCCCCCTCCCTCCTCCCCTTCCTCCCCCTCCTTCCCTCCCTTCCTCCCTCCCTCCCTTCCCTCCACCCACCTTCCTCGCAATAATATTGCAATCCGGTGCCCGCGTGGAGAGCGACGTTGACGAGGGCGCAGGACGAGAGAGCTCCGAGGACGAGAAACTCCCTCCTTCCCTCCCTCCCTTTTCCCTCCCTCCCCCCCTCCCTCCTTCCTTTCCCTCCATCCCCCTTTCCTCCCTCCTTCCCCCTTCCTCCCTCTCCCCCCTCCCATCCTCCCCCTCCCTCCTCCCCTTCCCTCCCCCTCCTTCCCTCCCTTCCCTCCCTCCCTCCCTTCCCTCCACCCACCTTCCTCGCAGTAGTATTGCAATCCGGCGCCCGCGTGGAGAGCGACGTTGACGAGGGCGCAGGACGAGAGAGCTCCGAGGACGAGAAACTCCCTCCTTCCCTCCTTCCCTCCCTCCTTCCCCCCCCCCCTCCTTCCCTCCCATCCCCTTTTCCTCCCTCCTTCCCCCCTCCCATCCTCCCCCCTCCCTACCATCCTTCCCTCCTCTCCCCCCTCCCTCCATCCCTCCTTTTCCCTCCCTCCCTTCCCTCCACCCACCTTCCTCGCAGTAGTATTGCAATCCGGCGCCCGCGTGGAGAGCGACGTTGACGAGGGCGCAGGACGAGAGAGCTCCGAGGACGAGAAACTTGACGTATTTTCTCACGATCCAGGACATCATCTGCTCTGCTTGGAAGATGGTTGACATCACCTGTGGGAGGGAGAGGGAGAGCGAGGATAATAATAATAGCGATAATGATAAGTACGAGGGAGAGGAGAGGAGGATAATGAGCGAGGGAGAGGGAGAGCGAGGTAATGAGCGAGGGAGAGGGAGAGCGAGGATCATGAGCGAGGGAGAGGGAGAGCGAGGATAATGAGCGAGGGAGAGGGAGAGCGAGGATAATAATAATAGCGATAATGATAAGTACGAGGGAGAGGGAGAGGGAGGATAATGAGCGAGGGAGAGGGAGAGCGAGGATAATGAGCGAGGGAGAGGGAGAGCGAGGATCATGAGCGAGGGAGAGGGAGAGCGAGGATAATGAGCGAGGGAGAGGGAGAGCGAGGATAATGAGCGAGGGAGAGGGAGAGCGAGGATAATGAGCGAGGGAGAGGAGAGCGAGGATAATGAGCGAGGGAGAGGGAGAGCGAGGATAATGAGCGAGGGAGAGGGAGAGCGAGGATAATGAGCGAGGGAGAGGGAGAGCGAGGATAATGAGCGAGGGAGAGGGAGAGCGAGGATAATGAGCGAGGGAGAGGGAGAGCGAGGATAATGAGCGAGGGAGAGGGAGACGAGGATAATGAGCGAGGGAGAGGGAGAGCGAGGATAATGAGCGAGGGAGAGGGAGAGCGAGGATAATGAGCGAGGGAGAGGGAGAGCGAGGATAATGAGCGAGGGAGAGGGAGAGCGAGGATAATGAGCGAGGGAGAGGGAGAGCGAGGATAATGAGCGAGGGAGAGGGAGAGCGAGGATAATGAGCGAGGGAGAGGGAGAGCGAGGATAATGAGCGAGGGAGAGGGAGAGCGAGGATAATGAGCGAGGGAGAGGAGAGCGAGGATAATGAGCGAGGGAGAGGGAGAGCGAGGATAATGAGCGAGGAGAGGGAGAACGAGGATAATGAGCGAGGGAGAGGGAGAGCGAGGATAATGAGCGAGGGAGAGGGAGAGCGAGGATAATGAGCGAGGGAGAGGGAGAGCGAGGATAATGAGCGAGGAGAGAGGGAGAGCGAGGATAATGAGCGAGGGAGAGGGAGAGCGAGGATAATGAGCGAGGGAGAGGGAGAGCGAGGATAATGAGCGAGGGAGAGGGAGAGCGAGGATAATGAGCGAGGGAGAGGGAGAGCGAGGATAATGAGCGAGGGAGAGGGAGAGCGAGGATAATGAGCGAGGGAGAGGGAGAGCGAGGATAATGAGCGAGGGAGAGGGAGAGCGAGGATAATGAGCGAGGGAGAGGGAGAGCGAGGAAGAAAAGCGAGGGAGAGGGAGAGCGAGGAAAAGGAGCAGAGAGGGAGAGCGAGGATAATGAGCGAGGGAGAGGGAGAGCGAGGATAATGAGCGAGGGAGAGGGAGAGCGAGGATAATGAGCGAGGGAGAGGAGAGCGAGGATAATGAGCGAGGGAGAGGGAGAGCGAGGATAATGAGCGAGGGAGAGGGAGAGCGCGAGGATAATGAGCGAGGAGAGGGAGAGCGAGGATAATGAGCGAGGGAGAGGAGAGCGAGGATAATGAGCGAGGGAGAGGGAGAGCGAGGATAATGAGCGAGGATAATGAGCGAGGGAGAGGGAGAGCGAGGATAATGAGCGAGGGAGAGGGAGAGCGAGGATAATGAGCGAGGGAGAGGGAGAGCGAGGATAATGAGCGAGGGAGAGGGAGAGCGAGGATAATGAGCGAGGGAGAGGGAGAGCGAGGATAATGAGCGAGGGAGAGGGAGAGCGAGGATAATGAGCGAGGGAGAGGAGAGAGCGAGGAAATTGAGCGAGGGAGAGGGAGAGCGAGGATAATGAGCGAGGGAGAGGGAGAGCGAGGATAATGAGCGAGGGAGAGGGAGAGCGAGGATAATGAGCGAGGGAGAGGAGAGCGAGGATAATGAGCGAGGGAGAGGG